ATTGTCTTGAAACATTAGGGTAATTAGGCAAGTCATTGTATAGTGGTTTGTTCTCTAGACTATCGAAAAAATATAGCTTAAGGAGCCTAATAATATTGTTTAATAATACAAATTTTATTCTAGCCAAAATAAAACAAACAAGACTTTCTACAGACAAAAAAATCGATAAACTTATACGATAAACTGTGAAGTATTTCATTTGGGAACTATTTGATAAAGAAAAAAAAAATTCACAGGAGGGCTACTAATTTTTAATTAATTTAGAAAATCTGAACACTGTGCGCAAGGACCTCTTTTGTCTTTCTATCCTTCACCTTCATTCAGTATTCCTCCCTCTCGTCTCCATCTCCTTCTCCTCCTGCAGTGGATTTGTTGGTCCTGGCGGAGGTTTGCTGTGATTGGTATGCTTGAAGAGCACGAGGATGTTGGAGTGCAGAACGTGTGGTGAACATGTGTGCCTCTGCTCTTCTTCCCCTCCCTCAGGCTGCATTTGCTGCTGGCCTTGAAGAGCTTGCTAACATTGAGCCCTTGATGCATCTCTTATTAACAGCAGCACTGCTTCATAGAGACTGAGAGAACACACAGAGACAAGATGTGAGGGTCAACAGCGCCTGACTGAGCTTTAATTTCATCTCTTAAAGATACTTTGTTGGGATAGTTCACTCTAAAACCAGAATTTACTCCTCTCAGGAGGTGTCGACATTAAAAAATACAATGGAAGTCAACTGTATTACAATATTCTTCAAATATAGAAACTGTTTATGTGTGTCTAAAAGAAAAGGCATCTCATAAATGATTGTAACCACTTGAAGGAGAATAAATGATAAGAATATTCATTTTTTTTGGGTGAACTGTCACTTTATTGGGTACAGAGTAGTAGTATGCATATTTTAAAGCAATTGTATCACTTAATTCATTATGTATTTTCAGACTGAGAGGATGAAACTTATTAAAGGACTGTAGTTGGATGTGCTCGGTGAGTTCAAAGAAACACAAAGTAAGTTTTGAGCCTGCAGCTATTCTGAACGAACGTGGTGGGAATCTTTTATTTCTGCTGATGAAACAGGTTTTACTGATGTCAACTGAACACAACTGAGCTAAAGCACATCTTTAAAGGGATAGTTCAACCAAAAAGTCCATACTCCTTTCTTTTTTCTGTTGAACACAAGATGGTTTTGTAAGAAAACCAGATGCCACTGATTTATGTCCTTTTTTTCTTATGAATTTCAGTGACTTTTTGCTATCCAACATTTTAAAAAAATTAGTTTTGTGTTCAACTGAAGAAAGAAACTCAAAGTTTTGTAACAGTTGAATTATCCCTTTAAGATTTTTTAAAATGTTAACAAAGATATTTTCATTGTGATTTCCTAAATGAACGTTTAACATATATAAAAACTTAAGTCTGTATATGTAAATAAAAACCTGACTAAAATACCTTTATTATAAATTATCTTTTATTGGAAATTGAATGGAAAGCTTAATGGAAGTCTTATGGGTAAAGGAACAACTTGGGGGTGAAAATAATTTTACAGAAATTTAAAACCTTTTTCATTTTGCTACCTTGATTAAAGATTTTTTAAGAAATATGTAATGGAAAACCACACACAACCAGTATGATCGGATGGTACAGTAAATGTTATCTCAATGTTCTAATGTTTGGAGCCAAGTTATTGCAACCTTTTGTCTTTTCTTTGTTTGTAAAATAAGCAAACCATGTGGCGAACAACTAATTTTGTGTTCCCTATACAATAACTGTATTTTAAAGAACACACTGGCAAATTGTGGTCCCTTCAGGTTATTTATTTAGAAATTGTTTTGTTTGTCTGAAAAAGGTCTTAAATTTGCTGTCGTAAAATGCCACAAATAATCCTTACTTTCACTTTTGTCCAATTTTATGCATTACCAATTACCTTATACACTACCTGACAAAAGTCTTGTCGTCGATGCCAGTTTCTCAGCAAGAAATTTTAACTTGACTTCTAGTTGATCATTTCGAAAAGTGGCAGGGAGATTTTTCTGATGAATCAAGTCAACACTCCTTCTCATACCTCAGCCTCTATATCAAAGTTCCTGAAAGCAAAAGTCAAGGTTCTCAAGGACTGGCCAGCCCAGTCACCAGACATAAACATTATTGAGCATGTCTAGGGTAAGATGATGGAGGAGGCATTGAAGATGAATCCAAAGAATCTTGATGAACTCTGGGAGTCCTGCAAGAGTGCTTTCTTTGCCATTCCAGATGACTTATTAATAAAGTTATTTGAGTCATTGCAGAGATGTATGGATGCAGTCCTCCTAGCTTATGGGAGTCCGACACAATATTAATTCTTTTTCGATTGCACCATGACTTAATATTCTATACTGGACATTATTTCTGTTAAGTAACAAGACTTTTGTCTAAGTAAAGTCAGACCTTACTCTCCTAATTAAATCATTAAAAATCAAGACATGATCATATTTTATTTTGGTAAAATCTAGAGGCCTTTGCCTTTCATATAAGCCACTTCTGATAGCAAATGATCAACTAGAAGTCAAGTTATTATCTGTTGCTGCTAAAAATTGGATAGGCGACAAGACTTTTGCCAGGTAGTGTATAAAACTACTTACTAACCCCAAATTTGTAATGGTTTTGTAGATGTGAATAGCATTATTTTGTATGTCTCTTTGATTTATCTCTCTCTCTGCCTGCTTTAATTATTGTAGAGACTAAATTTGGGCCAAGTGATTTATTTAGCTCATGTGCGCTCTTCCTGGTGTGTGCAACATCACAGAGATGAACACATCACATGCTGTCATGGCCGCTGTGCTTCAGTTGTGCTTGTGAGCATTAATGCACTAAACGTCTGTGTTTCGTTGGTGGTGTGGTGAATCATTCCAGCAGGTTTTAAGCTGAGGGCTTCAAGACAGAGCACTTGTCAAGAACACTTCTCCTTCTCTTGGAGGTGAATATATTTGGAAAGAAGTGACACTGTCAAGGAGCTGTGTGCGAGGTGTGAATCACAGTTCACATGATTTCTGTGTTGCCAGGGAATGTTTTCTCATAGACTCAAATAAGTATGACAGCCCTTAAGGGCAAATTTCACATTTGAAAAAAAATCACGACTAATGAGATCTCTTTAGTTGCTGTGTTATTTCTTACGGGGGACAATGAAATCAGTTTTTATTTTTTTCACAATGTTTTTATGAAGAGGACATTTATAAACATTAAAAAGCATATCAACATTTTGTAAAGGTATATAAAATATAAAAATTATATAATTTTTTAAAATCAAATTTTACATTATTCTAAAAATTTGTTGCATTTTTATTATAAATTTATTAAACCAAATTCTGTGTTTCCTGTTTAGATTTTTTTTCTGGATTTAATTTTAAATGTTTAACTAATATATTTTTTAAATCTAACCAACTGAACAAACTTATAATTATATATACACATATATGTGTTGTATTTTTTTTATATTGGCCAAAATATTTTTATATATATTTTTTTCTAGAAATCAAATAAAGGCATAAAACATTAACTATTTAATGAATCTTTTAATAAAATGAAAATTTGATTGTTCCTTAGAATTTTTTAATAATAATAATAATAATAATAATAATAATAATAATAATAATAATAATAATAATAATAATAATAATAATAACTGAAATAATAAATAGTAATACATTTGTCACATTTTTGTTGACAAATTTCAGGTTGACATGTTATAAAGGGACTCAAGTTTCAGTAAAAAACGCTGGGCTGTAATTAGTTTGTAAAAATTTTATTTAAATGACATCTTTAACCAATCGGTTGGGTTTGTCCCTTTTCGACCCAAAGTAGATTAAAACAACCCAGCATTTTTTGAGAGAATGGTTGGGTTTGTCCATGTTTGACACAATGTTGGTCAAAAGATAGTTTCCATCACCTAAAACAGTAAAAGTGATAGTTTATTCAGCTTTGAATATAAATATTATCTTGTCATATATTAAGACTGAAATCACCCAACCACCACAGGACATCAACATGACATCAGATTGACGTTGTACCTCATTGTTGTGGGACTTCGCATTTTGTTTGGATATGAAAATCGGGTTGACATCAGAACCCAACGTTAGGCTGACGTCAATGTCCAATATCAGACGCATATTGCATTTTGGTAACTTTCCAATGCAACCTAAAAACAACCAAATATCAACATCAACTGTTGTTGTTTCCACTATAATGTCTATCAGATATTAGATTTTGGTTGCCATATCTGACAAATAAGTTTCAGTATTTGACATCAACATGATGTTAGTTTAGGATGTTAGCCCGACGTTGGATTTTGGTTACTTTCCAACACAACCTAAAATCAACCAAATATCAACGTTATTATTGGACGTCAAAATATCATTGTCCTTTGACGCTGGCAACCTAAGTCTAACCTAATATTAATGTCTAATGACGTTGTGTGTCTGCTGAGCACATGGAGATGTTTGAGTTTAAAACCAACAAAATAGTTATTTACATTTCTTATTACATTTTTTCAGAATCACATTATATGACTCACCTTCATTTAAAAGCTTTTGACAGACTTTAACAATGTTTGTTTTTCGTTCAGCAAATTTTAGTTGCGCATTTGAGATATTTAAGCCTATTACGCCATAAAAACAGCCTCTGAGCAATACATTATTCAGTGTCATCAGAAAAAAACAGCTTAATACAGTTTCTGAAAGAGGCAGCCACGCTTGAGCAAGGTGTTTGAAGGCTAATGGTGTAGGAGTCGAGTAAGCGAGTCTTGTCAGGTGTCAGCAGTATGTCAGGATCAGTCTATTTCTCTTAGACGTTTGTCCATCACAGAGACTTGCTGACCTGTCCTGACAGCCGCTCTAATACTGCAGCATCTGACCACTCATAACACACACATCTGCTCTTTTATTTATTTATAGCATGGTACCATCTTGAACATGTGACCATCCTCATCATCAAGGTGCCTTTATGCATCTCGCTCTCATGACTGTCCTCCTTTTTTTTTCAGGTGAAGAAGTTTGCCAAGTACTTGGATCCCAACGCTCACGGCAGAATAAACTTCAAAGATTTCTGTCATGGAGTGTTTGCAATCAAAGGTAAGATGATGGTTTCTGAGCAATGTTTCATAAATGCTGTTGATGAATCTGTTGTTACAAGATCAAATGAGATTTGAGAACATCACAGTAAAAATATCTGAAATATGAGCTATAATATGTAAATATTATATGCAAAAATAATCATCATGCATTCTAATGCTTAAATAAATTTACTTCATATATATATAAAGTTGAAGTCAGAATTATTAGCCCTCCTTTAAATTTTTTTTCTTTTTAAATATTTACCAAATTATGTTTAACAGAGCAAGGAAATTTTCATAGTAATTTTCATAGTATTTTTTTCTTCTGGAGATATTTTATTTGTTTTATTTTAACTAGAAAAAAAGCAGTTATTAATTTTTTAAACACAATTTTAAGAACAAAATTATTAGCCCCTTTAAGCTATATATGTTTTCGATAGTCTACAGAACAAACAATTTTTTTTTCAGAACAAAATTTATTTAAAAAGATTTGCCCAATTAGTTTGTTCGCTGGCTATAAAATAGCACTCTGATTGAAAACAAAAAAGTTGATACAGTCTAGTTTTATATATATATATATATATATATATATATATATATATATATATATATATATATATATATATATATACTTGTTCTGTCACAAGCAGTGGATCAGTTCAGTACAAAGTGTTCCAAACCGAATCGCTCTCCAGAGATGAAGGCTGAGTTGCTAGACACCATGTTCCTTTATACAGACACATCCTGAAAGAAAGTGGGCACAATTTCTCAAATAAATGCAGTTTCAACTCCAGTCGAGTATTATCTCTCCATTTAATTTTAAGCCATTTAAATACCCAAATCCAAAACTGATAAAGGGGTGTTCTGCATTCTTATTGGCGTTCTCCATCCACCTCTGTGTCCACTGAAAATCTGTAATGCTCAGGGATAATGAATAGCATGAGTGAGCAAAATCTGATTAGAGATGTGTGCTTCACCGCTGAACTCTCTTGATCTGCCTAATTGAAAATAACCACATTTGAACAGCAAAATTACGAGCATCTCTGGGTGTGCCTGTAATGAACCGTTTATCCGATTGAAACATTTTCCTATATAACGACAGCAAAGTAATTCACTTGTTAGTGTGGGTTGAGCTTCTCAGTTAAAAGATTGGGGGGGATGTTATTCCTGATTACAGTGGGATTTTTAGGGTTTCCAAACATGGTTACTGTGTAATCATGGCTCAGCAGCGTAATTTCACATTATTTATAGTTGCTTTAGGACACTTATTGCCTTGTCTTGATGGGCACACCAGCTCTTCCCTTTTTCGCTGTCATTAAGAGCACTGTAAACAGGGTAACATTTGTCAGCCAGGGACACTTGCGCAGCTTGGCAAACTTATGAAGCCGATATCTGCCAGCTGAATAGGCAGGACACCAGCAGACACGAGGACCCGGGTGTCACGTCTATCTCTGCCAGTGCTTTATGGAGAAGCAGGCAGGCCAAATGGGCTTCAGGCCCAGGGCTTTGTCCCCCAGTGTCCTGTGTTTAATGAGGCCCAGTGGTGTTCCCAATCACTCTTTCACTAATGAATCCCCCAATCCCTGTTTCCCAGCACGCACACCAAATCCGCAAAGCAGAAACTGATGTTCGTCCTTTTGGGGTCCCAAAGGAGCACTGTTGTGTGTGTGGTGGAGTCAAGTCACCTTTATTTACAGTACATGCTGCATATGCAGACCAGATCATTTCAAGGCTTTACAATAACAGAGAGAAAAATAACAGAGGTGCAAACTTGAGGCAATTTTAATTTCTGCTGTGAAGTACTTCTAAAGAGAAAGCAGTGTGTGTTCAACAGTGGCAAAGCCAGAAGTTTTTCTTAATAACAAAATTTACTAAATTTAGATGTGAACAATTCATTCATTCAAGCGAATCCACAGAATAAACAACAACAACAACAACAACAACAACAACAACAACAACAACAATAATAATAATAATAATTATTATTATAATAATTTTAATAAAATAATCAACATCTTATAATTAGCTTTTGCTCTGAAATGTTGTTCTTTTTCTGATGCCGTTTGTTTGGCGGTTTGGGCAAAATATCCTTAGCCACTGCTCTCCATCCTTTAGTTTGCTAAATAAAACCCTGCCCTCTATTCAGTATTGTGTTTTAGCTGGAAATGTCACAATACTGAAGTAAATTCATTAGGATCTATACCTGCCAAAACTTCTTTTTCCAGAGAGTCCTCTCTATTTTACACAAATCTCTTCATTTTTCTCATTTTGTTATTGCTCCCAGAAAACTTCCATAATTTGCATGTTGCCAGATCTTGTATGAAGCTCATCATCTCAATCAATCAAATGTTCAAACCGAAATTTCAAACCATTTGTGACCTTAACCTGGTAACCTACAACCCAGTTGTGCTGTTGGTTTCTGTGCAGGTGGTAGTAGCAGTGTCAGTGGTTGAAATGGAAGGAAAGGAAAAGAAAAATAAAGAAAAAATTATTTGCCCCCCTTTTAATTTTCTTTTATTTTTAAATATTTCCTAAATGATGTTGAAAAGATCAAGGAGATTTTCACAGTTTGTCTGATAATATTTTTTCTTCTGGAGAAAGTCTTATTTGTTTTATTTCGGCTAGAATAAAAGCAGTTTTGAATTTTTGAAAACCCATTTTAAGGTCAAAATTATTAGCCCCTTTAAGCTAATTTTTCCGATAGTCTACAGAACAAACCATCATTATACAACAACTTGCCTAATAACCCTCACTTGCACAGTTAACCTAAGTAACCTTGTTAAGCCTTTAAATGTCACGTTAAGCTGTATAGAAGTGTCTTGAAAAATATCTAGTCAAATATTATTTACTGTCATCATGGCAAATAAAATAAATCAGTTATTAGAAATGAGTTATTAAAATAATATATTATTATGTTTAGAAATGTGTTGAAAAATCTTCTCTCCGTTAAACAGAAATTGGGGGAAAAAACGGGGGGCTATAAATCCGGGCGGTAATAAATGAGACTTTAACTGTATATTATTATTATTATTATTATTATTATTATTATTATTATTATTATTATATCTTTAAAAACACACAACCCTTTATAACCACCCTCCCTCCCTTAAGTGCTGCTTTGTGTAAGTCATAGGACTTACACAGATTTATTAAAATACTCTCCTTTTATAAGTTTTACACCTGAAATGGAAACTCCAACAAATGCATATGCAATAACTTGAGCCACGAAAAAGGCTTTTCTATTTAACAAACTTCTGACTTTAGTAAAACTGACTGTGTTTTTTTAATGCATTGCTGATGCAAGCTGTAAGGAAATCCGCTCCCAAGTGCCATTTAAACCCTAATTAAACAAGGCAAAGGTAACAGTCATTAAGAGAAGACTCTTGGGACAAATCATGTGCGTCTGGAGGCCAGCTTTTGTCTCTTTTGGAAATGAATGAACAATACTGTCTACAGTAATTATCCACCAATTTTTAAACTATGTGTACGTGCACACCTTTTTTGTGTGTAATGTGTGTTTTCTTTTATGAATTTATAGTCTTTTGTATATACCGCATTTACCTGTTAAGAGAATATTGTTTCGGAGTATGTTGTTATATTTGGAGCCAGCACCTAAGCTTTTCACTCATCATAACATGTGCTGCTGCTGATGTGACAGTAAAAGTGATCTGATTTTGTGTTTTATTCCTGAACATGGTTCACAAGTCAAGTTGTATATTGAGTTTATTAACACTTTGGTAACACTTTAAGTTCTAATTCTCACTACTAACTATTGGCTTAATACCTGCCTATTATTAAGACATTGTCTGTTATTAGCACTTAAAAAGTATGAGCTTTTTCCACATCCCTAATCCTACCCCATACCTAAACCCAACTATTACCTTTCTAACTATTAATAAACAGCAAATTAGTACTTTATTAAGCTAAAAGTCTTAGTCAATTATTTGTTAATAACGAGAATAGTACCAAAAGATAAAGGCATCCATTTTTCATCCATCTCCTCTTTTATTTGATTTTTAGTTTAAAATGCATTTAAAAGAAGCAGGATTGCACCAATCTATTTTCTCCCTTGCTCTGTCTTTAGTATGTGCTAAAGCAGGCCTGTTGTGCATAGCTTTATATATTTATGCATTACCCACAAAGTATTCCCATTTGGGACGTTCCCGCAGCCAAGTCGAGCTGTGGCCCACTTGAGATGTTACATAGAGCACTGAGCCTTCTCTACACTTGATGTTATGTGTCTATAAATGGATTCTAGGGCTGGACCGCCCTTCACTGTGCGTCTCAGTACGTTATTTATTCATGGCATTTTACTTAGCCTGTTGTATTTCTGCAGATATGTCTGTTTGTGTGAGAAACAGTGCCGTATATTTAAGAGAACAGGTGCCTCTGTCAGCATGATATCTGCTGTTGAACATTCAGTTTTCATAAAAACGTGGATCCTGATATTTTTTCTGGCTCTTATTTGTGTAGTAATGAAAGCCTAAATTTTAAACTGGGTGTAGTTCAATAATTCAAGCCCAGCTTTAGACACAAGATGATATCAAACAGGGCTCTGAAATCTGTAGTGACAGAAGCTTTTATAAATGCAGCACAATGGCCACAATGTCTAGGTGTGGGTATTTTCACATTTCATGAATTGTTTAAAATACAGAATCTAAGAAGCATATTTTTTTCTATTAAAAATAAAACAGGTACATGAAAATCCTATAAACTAATGTAGTAATGGCGATGCAAACACGCGTACTTGCGTAAAGTGCATTCATCATCTTTTTGAAGCTTTTTAAATTTTTGCACAATTTTCCAGGTCCACCTATCAATAAATATATCATTTTTGTTTGTTAATTTAGAAGTAATAGGTTTTTTTCTTCCCTGCTTTTCTCCCTTTCGCTGGAACACAATGTAAACGTCTACATACATGTTTGATAGAAGGATGTTGTTGTGAGGTAGGTTTTGTTGTGATAAAAATGTAGGTCAAAAACAAACATACATACATAAAAAAAAAAAAAAAAATATATATATATATATATATATATACACACACACTCACACACACTATATATCAATAGAGATGAGAATAACAGCATTATAAATAAACTGCGTTAGTAAAGTCAATACTTTTTTCAGTGACAATTAATCAATTGAATTACGGTTTTCCCTGTTAGAATGCCATTTCCCTGTTAGAATGCCGTTTCCTTGTTAGAATGCCATTGTTTCTGACAATAAAAAAATGTGCGTTACTAAAATTTAGACCACTGACATGGTTTTCATTGACACGGAGCAGTGTCTCAGGGTGTGTGTGTGTGTGGGAAGGGACACATAACCAATCAGTGATGATGATTGGTGTGTCTGAGAACGTGATGATTGACATAAATAGAGTCAGTGACACACACACACACACACACACCAGCGACCAGGAGTCAGACAGATGGCAAATCCAACAAGTTCAAAGGTAGCGTTTGCAAACTGGAAATATAAGCACTACTTTTCCCTCATTGATGTGAAAGGCAGGAATGTTTATGTATCGCGTAACTTATGGCCATGGAAAAAAATAAGCTTTTTGTATCAGTGACAAGTAATTCTAATCTAATAAAGCACCTCACGTCGTCATATGCTGCCACAAAACTTGTGGCTATGCAGGTGATAACGTGAGCTCTGCTACCAAAGTAGAAAACGAAGCCATTAGGTAATAAAAAACCACGCAAAACACGCATTGCTTAGACGGAATTAAACAAAATAATATCTAGACATATAGTTGAGGACTTACTGCTATTGTCTCTTACATTGTCGCACAACAACATTAAAATAGATTGATGTACAATGTTTTATGTTTATTTTATAGTCATTTGACAAATTAGATTATTTTAATGTAACGCAATAGTTACTTTCCCTGGTAATTAGTTACTTTTATAATTATGTAACTCAGTTACTATTTGTGAGAAGTAACTAGCAACTATAACTAATTACTCTTTTAAAGGAATGTGCCCAACACTATGTATATCAAACAATCTGTGAAAATAAAGCAATGCAGTAACAACAGTTACTTACATTTTAAATCTATTTGAATTAAGTGTATATGGCAGATTATTATCTTTTAGTTTTAGTCTTTCTAAAATCCAGCATTGTGCCTTGCTTGTAAACAAATTTCCAGGAAAATGAAGTGAATAAATGACCAAATTTACTGACATGGTATCAAGCATCTTTTACATTTTTTAAAAAATATATTTTTCTACTGTTGGGATCATAAGAAAGTTGATGCAAGATACTGTCCAGCATCTGTGTGTCAGTAAAGCATTGTCTAGACCTGCACTTACCTCTTATTATTTAACAGGCAGTGGTGTAGTAGATACAGGTGTCATTGATCTTCTGTTGAAATGGAGTTTCTTTTTTCCTAATATTTGCCATCAGCTATGTGACAATAAATGCAATATCAGTCCTCTTATTCATTTTATTTTATACAAAAACAGCTGGTCCCATTTTGTGTTTCCATTATTGATTGAAGTGTAATATCCTCAGGGGACATTATCCAAGACACCATTCTCATTGTCAATATTACTAGAACATTATTGCACTTTTCATCTTTTACTTGCTCAATTTTTATTGCTCTAGCTTGATATTTGTATAACATACAGTCAAAACCAAATCATTGAGTCATTCATTCATTTTCTTTTCAGCTTAGTCCCTTTACTAATCAGGGGTTACCATAGCGAAATGAACCGCCAACTTATGTTTTACACAGCGGATCACTGGGAACCCAACACTGGGAAACACCCATACACTCTTGCATTCACATCCACACACACTGACTTAGTGGCTTGAACCTGCGAACTTCTTGCTGTAAGGTGACAGCGCTATCCACTGCTCCACTTATTTACTTTTCTGAGGAGCCAAGGATTAAGCAATAGATAAAGTGTATTTAATCACTATAGTAATGACATTAATATTTCTTTTTTTACAATTCAGGCTGTGAGGAGATCCTAAAATCGGCACTTGGGACCCCCACCATCGCAGCACAGCCGTACCAGACAGACAATGGCTACTACTATCAGGTAGGCACAAATTGGATACTTGATATTGTTTTTTTTGTTTCTGACATATAGCCATTGGCTCTCCAATCATCATGAGAATAGGTTTGCTCTACTGAAAACACTTTGTCTTGAACTTTGTTGAGAACGTCTTGTTTGTCTTTATTTTGCTTGCACGTCGTGAACCTAAATTGCACCTACTGGATAGTGTCCATTTACTGCATTGTGGGAATCAAAGAGGGTCTTAAAACTACTGTTTCAAAAGTCTAAAGGTGTCTATAGATATTGAGCATATATTGTTCACTCCAACACATGTTGACACATCAGTCAAGCTTGCATCAGCTGACAGTCAGTTGTTCATGATGTGTACCAGTCTGGTTCTGACATCAGTCACATTAGTCTATTTAAATCATATATCTGGTCCCTGTTCAGCATTTTTCTGCTCACCAATTCTACACTGCCTCCACCATCCCTAACTCCTTCTAGCTTCAAAGTATATTAGCTAAGTAAATGGCAATCAGCCTCATTTCTCTGGCATTTACATAAACTCATAATCATAATGGTTTATGAATGCTTTCGGGTTCTGTTCTGTTACACCATGAGGAGTTGACTTGCTGCTACTCTCCCTGCTCTGCCCATTCCTGCTTGCACTTTTGCCCAGAACAGTACTATGGCAGTGGCATGGGGCAGTGTGTAGATTCTTTTTACTTTTTTATTGTATTTGGCTTGATCAATAACCCATCTTTAAGATTTTCTTAGATGTATATACACACTGATATTGTTCTTTAGAGAGCAGAACCATCTCATCAACACTAACTGTTTGCTTAATATATTTATATTTGACAAAACTGATGCTGTCTGAAATGACTGAAGGGTTTAAAAGGTCTTCTGTGCTTGCTTCAGTACAGATAAATGTTTCCTTTTTTTAAAATCTACATTCTAAAAAAGGCTGGGTCGTTTTAGCTCAACGTTAGGCCAAATATCGACAAGCCCATTTTTTTTTTCTGTTAAATCTAAATTACACTTTTAAACTCAGCAGTCAATAATTGACACAACGGTGGGTTACAATAACAGTTTAAAATGTATCAATAATATGCAAGGAGATGCAATTAAAACTATTTTAATCCACATAGGCTCATTCTGAAAATGAACCCTTATTTAATTTTCTGAAGATTGCGAATTATTTGGCCAGAGCTACATATGGCTGCATTTAGTGTTTTAAACGAATGATATGGGGTGGTATGATGTTTCTTTCTTGCTTACCAGCTGACCGCTTACCTTCTTATGGACGGCTTTCCCGCTGTTATCAGTTTGTCTAGTTAGCTCGACACATACATTAGCGGACTTGAGATGCAAAGCAGAGTTGACCACGACAACGGGGTTTGAGTCTGGTGAAAAACGGTTCCAGAAAGCAGGTAAAACAAAAACAAGCCAAAAAAAAAAACAAGTAAATAACAGGGTGAGAATGTGGTAAAATCTGAAAACTTTGTAAAAATCAGGTGGGGGCTTTTCTTTTTCTAGATTACTTTTTAAAACACTGCGGTTGGGTTTAGTGAAGAGGGTGGACGGGTTAATTGGTGCTTTTTAAAATACTATTGGTTGGTTTTAGGGAAGAGTGGGTGGGTTGGTGGATCAGTTGGTTGGTCAGTCAGTAAATTAGTCAGTTGACAGCAGTCTCTGGTGGATTTACGCGAGAACAGCAGGCGCAAATGGAACTTGCAAGAGAAATTTGAGATCTGGAAAAGCGTACACATCGGCCTCTGGTGGATTTACACGTGAACATCAGGTGCGAATGGCACTCCTGAGAGAGATTCGACATCTGAAAAAGCGTACACAGCGGCCTCTGGTGGATTTACACGTGAACATCAGGTGCGAATGGCACTCCTGAGAGAGATTCGACATCTGAAAAAGCGTACACAGCGGCCTTTGGTGTATTCGCGAAAACAAAAACTGCAAAAAAATGTAGCTCCTTGTAAGTATTTGGCGCTCTCCAGAAAAGTATATCAGGGTACATTTTCAGAATGAGCCTGGGTTGGATTTAACCCTATTTGTTAAAAGAAATACTGTTTTGGCTATAGTCTGCATTCAGATAATCGCTGCGCATATCTTGGTTCACTTTTCTGCAATACATGCACTCCTACTCACTCTTTTTGTGTTCATTTGCACCATATAAATGCATTTAATGCAGCGGTAAGCCAGAAATTGTAAGCACTTCTTTTGGCAGTGTGTCCGGACGCATTAGGACACTTAACAGGCAGAGGCATCTATTGTTCTTCAATATTACATCGAAACGACCTTCCTTTCGTTTGCCTCAGTAGTACAGATTCAGTACTTGGCTTGTGTGAATTTGATGTATGAGAGTAAGTGTAGCCAAAAACTCGCCCCCAGCATGTCAGCCCTCACTCACACATACACAGCCATCCATACTGCCACTGTTTCACAGGCAGCCGCTTGAGTTACCGCTTAAGCCTTGTAAAACATAACCTGACACGGGACGCTTTAATGGCGGCTGTCAACATGCCGTATATGACTCAATGGAGCTGTCAATCAAACAGAGTGAAGAGGAGTTCTGACATCCACAGACACTTTCGATATGCAGAGACACTTACGTGTGGTATTATGCAATTAAGGACTTCACAGCTGCATCCACAGGTCAGGTCAAATCTGATTATTTGTGCATAATCTATTGCAGGGGCTATCAAATCTATCAGCTTGCGACTCCCAAAATACCAATTCCAATGACCCAAAATATCATCGTAAGTGGTTATACATACATAAACATTGCACATAACAGTGCACACACACCAATAGAAACTACATAAACATGAGAATATTGACAACACAAAAAAGTGCAACAGTCCAACAACTACAAAATTTGTTAAAGTCATTATTCATTCATTCATTCATTATTTTGTTTTTGGCTTAGTCCCTTTATTAGTTAGGGGTCGCCACAGTGGAATGAACCATTAACTTATCCAGCATATGTTTTACGCAGAGGATGTCCTTCCAGCCACACCCCAACACTGTAAACATCCATACACTCTTGCATACACACACACACACACACACACACACACACACACACACACACACACACACACACACACACACACACACACACACACACACACACACACACACACACTACAGCCAATTTAGTTTTTTCAATTCACCAATAGCAAAACAAACCATCGTTATACAATTATTGCCTAATTGCCCTAACCTGTCTAGTTAAATTTTTTTTTTTACCCTAGATAGGCCTTTAAATGTCACTTAAGCTGTATAGAAGTGTCTTGAAAAATATCTAGTAAAATATTATTTACTGTCAACATGGCAAAGATAAAATAAATCAGTTACTAGAAATGAATTATTAAACTAATATGTTTAAAAATGTGTTGAAAATATCTTCCCTCCGTTAAACAGAAAATGTGGAAAAAAATAAACAGGGGGGCTAATAATTTAGGGAGGCTATTAATTCTGACTTCAACTGTATGTGGACATACAATGGAACAAAATGTTGTGTCTCGCAGGACAGGTGCTACACTCAAAAATAAGTATTTAGGCCTAACAAATAAGCCTTATGTATTCTGATTGCAAATTCATTTTCCATCCATTTGCATTTCATACTTTATAACTAAAAAACTAATATTTGTTAGCTGAACATAAATGAAACAAAAAACAACAAGATTTATGCAGTAATACCAATCCATTCAATGTGTTGTAAATGCTTCTTATTCATTCATCTGTTGTGTGGAGTATGGAGCTGTGTCAGTTTTGCCCCTGAATATTAAGTTAACCAATCTCATAGAATTTAACTTTTTTCTAGAAATAATTATACTATATTCTTGTAATAGTATTAGTATTTAGTCTAGTAATAGTATTTAAATTAACAGACTGAAATTGATTCTAAGGAATCTGACAACATACATATAATGAAAGACTAATGGATGTGACAGACAAAGGAGACATCCAGAACATGCTGGATGTCCTGACCTCCAGAATTGGGATTGAGAATTGCTTGCTTGGATCAGATAAATAATTTAACTTGGACTGACATTCTGGATTAGGCTACTCTGTATGAAAACAGTTACATTTTGTATTTCCTGTGGTGCTTTTTCATTGTTCTGCTTCATATTTATATGCAAATAAAAATGCAAATGCAAAACAATGACAACAGGGTTTACAAAACCGAGATTATAGTTTATTAGTACATGCTAAGAGGCAACAGTGGAAATGTAGCAAGCTGACACGTTCATTTTTATTCTGCACTGCCTTATCTGCCTGTGTTAAAACTCAGCAGCTGTAAATTGTCATTGTGCTCTCATCTTGTACTACGCAGCAACCTTGATTCTGCTAAATTATTCAGCCTATTTTCACTAAAAAAAAAAAATGAAAATATGCATAAATTGTGTCAAAATCTCATTATAATCTTTAAATTCCTGTATGAAAAAACTATGGAAATTTATAGTATATATTACGGTGTTTTTAAACCATTTTGTAAAGTACTTAAATTATTCTGTTTTGGAACATTTATAGTTGCCGCAACTAGCAATACACACAAACACCTAGTTTATTCCTATTTAAGTTGGGCTAATATAGATTTCCAGAAATGTGAGAAATAAAATAAAATAAAATAAACTTAAAATAAAATAAACTTAAAATAACTATTACCACAACTTTATAACCTGTGATGGATTTGTAAAAATCATTTTCAATTTTATTTATTTGCTTCACCCTCAATCATATGGACAAACAATGAATTTGGACTGACATTCTGAGTTTTTGTTGTTGTTGTTGTTGTTGTTTTTTATTCAAATATCTCATTGCTACATGTTCTCTTTACTTGGACATCTCTGAGTTTTTGACCCAGGCCTACATCTTTATAATGATATCAAGTGTTTTGTGGCATTCAGTGCGTGTTTTCTATCTATGCAGTCATCAGTTTACTAATATACTCTTAAAGATAATTAAAATTCACTTTTAGCAAATATTGGCATGTAGTCTTACTCTTTTTGTCCTCTTGG